CAGCTCCACTCCTGGGTAGACTGACTTGAACCCCACACTGACAGCCCAACAGAAGAAAAGGGATTCCATGTCCAGGCATAAATACTATTTATCTCAGTTTCTACTTTTCCTCTACGCAAGATGTCTACAATTTAATAAAATTATGAAATATTCAAAAAAGCAGGAAAAAATAGTACATTACCGAAAGATGAAACTATCAATATACCAGACTCAGAAACAGTCCAGAAGTTGGACAGGGATTTTAAAATAACAGTGAGGATGGAATAAAAAATGTGGATAACATGAAATAAAAGAAGGGGAATTTCAACAGAGAGATGAAAACCATAACAGTCAAATATCAGCGGTAGAAATAAAAAGCTTTGTCAGAGATGAAGTGTTCCTGTGAAGGTGCATCAGTAGACTTGACACAGTTGATGAAGGAATCAGTGAATCTGAAGATAGGTGAATAGAAATTCTCCAAACTGAAATAAAAGTTAAAAATGAGTGAGAAAAAGAAGCAGAACAGACTATCCAAGAGCTATAAAACAATATCAAACAGTTTAACATACATATAACTGAAGTACCAGAAAGAGAAAAAAGAGAATGAGCGGAAGAAATATTTGAAGAGATATGGCTGAGGCTTTTCTCAAAATAATGAAAGACAGCAAGCTGCAGATCTAAGAATCACAGAGAAACACAAGCAGGATAAATACAGAAGCAAATAAACAAACAAAAAACTAGACACTTCATATTCAAACTGCTAAAAACAAAGATAAAGAGAAAAACTTAAAAATAACCAGGGGAAAAAAACATTATATTAGAGAAATAAAGATTGTAACTACAGATGATTTCTTGTCAGAGCCTGCAATCCAGAAGACAATTGAGTGACATCTCTATAACACTGAAAGAACAAAAGTGTCAACCCAGATTTCTATGAACAAGAAAAATATGTTTCAAATATGAAGGTGAAATAAAGGCTGTCTAACTAATAAAAGCTGAGATAATTCATTGTCAGCTTACTTGCACTGAAAGAAATATTAGAAGTTCTTCAGGCAGAAGGAATGAATATGATACCAGACAGAAATTTGTACTTACATAAAGAAATGAAAAACTGCAGAAATGACAAAAAAAAAAAAAGAAGATAAATATAAAAGACATTTCTCTCAAGAAATTCTAATCTTTCTAAAAAGAAAGCAGGGAGTCATTGCCTGGGGCCAGCAGTGGGGAAAGGATTGAATGGGATGGGACACATAGAAAATTCCAGGAGAGATAGGAATGTTCTGTGTTTTATCTGTAGGGGTGGTGACACCAGTATATAAAAGTATATATCAAATGTATGTATATATCAAAACTCATCAAGATATATATTTTATTTTATCTATTTATTTTTTTGGTGAGGAAGATTGGCCCTGGGCTGGCATCCGTTGCCAGTCCTCCTCTTTTTGCTGAGGGGGATTGGCTGTGGGCTGGCATCCGTGCCCATCTTCCTGTACTTTATATGTGGGACGCCTGCCATGGCATGGCTTGATGAGTGGTGCGCAGGTCTGCACCTGGGATCCAAACCTGCGAACCCTGGGCTGCCAAAGCTGAGTGTGAAAACTTGGCCGCTGCACCACTGGACTGGCCCCAGAAATGTATATTTTAAATGTTGTACTTCATTATATATAAACCAGTTTTCTGCCTAAAAAAAAGACATTTTTCTTACATTTTATAGCTTTAAAAGAGAAATGGGGGCTGGCCCAGTGGCGTAGTGGTTAAGTCACAGGCTTCACTTTGGTGGCCTGGGGTTCATGGGTTTGGTCCCTGGGCACGGATCTACACACTGCTCATCAAGCCATGCTGTGGTGGCATCCCACATGCAAAACAGAGGAAGATTAGCACAGGTGTTAGCTCAGGGTCAATCTTCCTCACCAAACAAACAAACAAAAAAAAAGATAGTTGACTGTCTAAAACAAAAATATTAATAGCATATTAGGGAATTTACAACATCTGTGAAAGTCAAACATATGACAACATATGGGAGGGACAAATTGCAAGGCTACTAGAGTAAGTTTCTTAAGCTACATGTGAAGTGTCTAATATTATTTACAAGCAGATTGTGATAAATGGTCCAAACACCCCCTGAATAAAAAGCAATAGTTTTCTATTGCTGCCTAACAAACTACCTCAAACTTGGTGACTTAAAACAACATACATTTATTATCTCACGGTTTCTGTGGGTCAGGAGTCTAGGCACCGTCTTAACTGGGT